TAAACAGCTGCAGCTCAATTATGACTTTTAATTTATACCCAGTGGCACATCTATCTGAAAATATTATATTTCACAATATATGGGATAAAACACTGAATTGTTTGCACTGAGTACAAAGAAAAGGTACATGTGTGTACAGTCATGTTATCACAAAGTTAAACCTGAATACTGTACATACATGGTTCTAAAAATGACACAGTGCATGATGGATAGAAGACTTAAAATGTTTTACACTAAATCACAAATTTTTAACACACGTCAAGTACTTCAAATAATTTCTAAATGTGGCAATAAAAGATAAGAACATATATGTCATGTCAAATACGTATCTAAGAGTATATATCAATATTAAATAAACCATCCTCATCGCATGCAAACATGTGTCAATGAAACTGTGAACAACATTAGTCTTGAAACTTGAAAGGACTTGAAGATGCCCCTTCGTGTATACAGACCTTCTACAGAGAAGGGATTCAAACCCAGGACCAAAATGCCTCTGTAAGAAACAGGATGAGCCATTAAAAACCTTTCTGGTCCCGGGCCGGGTTTCGAAACCACGACCTCCCGGGCACCAGAGCTTCATAACCAGACGCTCTAACCGCTCCGCCGAAAAGGTCTAGACCCGTCGGCCGGGTCAGTTGGTAGCGTCTATAAACCCCCCACTGTTACACCTCCACCATTTGGTGTTATTTGTTCCAAGTTGTCAAGTTCTATTAGCAAAAACAACTACATAACTACGGTACCTCTGAAAACGTTTCCCTTGGTTTGGAGCTCCTTGATACACTTCAGTTCAGAATCTGAAACAACATGCATATAACTTGTTACATGTAACGTTATATATTATTGTATATGCTAACTTTATCACAATAGGCATGTACAAATGATCCTATTCAAGTATTGCTGGCTCTGTCATCAATTTGTCAATTAGGTATACACGACCAAATTATATCAGCATTCCAATTTCAGATTTTACCAAAGTCAAGTTCGAGTCAAGTTTTTTGGGGTAATTTTACCGCTCAACAACCTCAAGATCTAGAAGTCCTGACCTGTTCCAGACCAAAGCACCGACTCTCTTACAGTCCTTTATAAAGCCTATGGTGGATTCTTGTTGCCTCGTCTACCGACAAATTTACCTTCCTGTCGTCAGAAGAAGTCGAACCCAGTAGAACTAGTAACCATGAATGCTGTAGAATATAGTATAATGCTAGACGCAGATATAGTCTCTCACACACCATTGTATTTTCTTTCTTATGTTGTTTGTAACTGCAATTAGCCCTCGGGCATGTATTTGCAATAAACTTTCTTTATTCGTGGTCGACAATCGGTTATACCGTGTTATGTGAATTGTTATCTGGGTAATCAGGGCGTAGACGTGGTGACCTTTACTGAACGGGAAAGGTCAATTTTATGCCCAAAATTATGCCCTGATTACCCAAATAGTAATCATGCAATGCCCTGATTACCCAAAATAGTAATCATGCACACAATATAGCCGATTGTCGATGTAGAACGCAATGGACTAATACGGGTTGGCATTTGACTGGCCTCGCGTCTCTGTGTGTATGTTATTCAGGCTTAAAACTACAGGGATACCTCATTATGATTACAGTGATTGATTTTAAAGTAGACATAGTCGTCAAACTTTCTATGAGCGAAAGAAGAGTTCGACATAGCGCACCATTCACTGAGTTGTACTAGTGAGTGTCCGTATAACCTCCTTAGTATAACTCGAGGTTTTATCCAGGATTATTTCGTTAACCTGCACGCATATAATTTGACCAAACGACACAGGACAACAAACTAAGTTTCTAGCAAAGTTGTTCACGTCAGAGGTCATATGCCCATTCTAAAAGCGCCCCCAGCAGCTGCTAAACGCACTGCATCGTCAACTCATGGGGGACAGTTGCCACAACTTATTTTCGAAATTCTGTCTTTTTGCTTCATTTGACTTCAACGAGATTTATCTAAAATAGTCCGGCGAGTATATACGACAACTTTAAGTACAACTTACCACCAAAGCGGACGTGGTGCGTCTTCCTGGGCGTAATTTTTACCCGCTCGTTCTTCCCGTCCATGCACACTCCGGCCATCTTGGAACGGCGTGTTCACACTCAGGTGGTGTGTACCACCTGTAAATCATGAGCAAAATTTGAATTCGATAATCAAGTTAACATGGAATTAACAACAGGCCAATGAACAATCAGCACACAAGTAGGCCTGAAAACTATTTAATTATTTCTCTCATTTAGCAAATTAGAAATTATCAATTTTTCTATCCTCATCATTCAACTTTATAAATTTAGGAGGGAAACACACCTAGCCTTGCAAATTGAGAGTAATCAGCCCACCTAATAATACTATATAAAATGGTGTGCTACTGATGTTTGTGTAAATTCATACCAGATTACCATAACTTCAATGTATCGTGATGGACTGAGTGAGTAGACAGTGCATGTTGTAAAATAGTGTACAAAATAGTGTACAAAATAGTGTACATGAATCACAAAAGCCTCCAACAGGCTTCAGAAGCGACGGGAAAGAGTAAAAAAGTGCCAAACAGACAGAATAAAATGCCGATTGAGTTTGTCTGCTTTAGGAGTAAAGTTTTACGCTCCAGAACTCTTCCCAGCCGCTTTTGAAGCCTGGTAGCGGCTGTAGCTAGGTAACAATGCTGGTCTCTTAAATTAGCCTCTACCAGGCTTCAGAGGCGACGGGAAAGAGTAGAAAGTGCCAAACAGACAGATAACATGCCAGTTAAGCGCTTTTGTCTGCTGAGGGAGTTTTACACTCCGGAACTCTTCCCAGCCGCTTCTGAAGCCTGGTAGAGGCTAGCTAACTGCTGGTTTCTTCTCTCGCAAACATACCTCCACGCCTAGCCTCTATCAGGCTTCGGGAGGCGGCTGGAAAGAGTAGAAATCGGTGAAATAGAGAGATAACATGCCGGGGAGTTGGTTCGCTGGAGAGTACAGTTTGCCGCACTCTTTCCAGCCGCGGCCCGAAGCCTGGTAGAGGCTACTCCACACCCTCAGCGTAAAACAAACCTTGTCCCCTCACACGTATCTATCGGTGCCTCTCTCTGCCTTTGACGTGCTTATTTACCACATTTCACGATGGTTCTTTGTAGTCATGTTGACTGTGGTGTCATGTTCAGACGAAGTTGTATGGTGGGCGTTGGTGTTATTTCAGGTCGCCTTGGTACCATGTAACCTATCTCACTGGTGTAAAGTTGACTGTATGACGTCTGGAAGAAACTATTCCTTCCAGCGGGTATTGACATTTCTAACCAGACAAATTCAACATCTTTACTCTTTTCTGTGAACATTTTGCAAAACATTGAGATTGTTATAATCACTATGATTTCGCTTAAGTTAAGCACCCACGAATATTGGTTATAATATCGTTTGATATATGACATCAAATGTCATGT